AAATAGGGAAAGGAGTATGTCAAGGCTGTATATTATCAACCTGCTGCCAGACTGGAAGAAGCACAAGCTGGAATCAAGATTGCAGGGAGAAATATCAATTACCTCAAATATGCAAATGACAACACCCTTATGGCAGAAAGTGAAGAGGAACTAAAGAGCCTCTTGATGAAAGTTGAAAGAGGAGAGTGAAAAAGTTGGCTTAAAGCTCAACATTCAGAAAACTAAGATCATGGCGTCTGGTCCATCCCTTCATGGCAAATAGATGGGGAAACAATGGAAACAGCGACAGAGTTTATTTTCTTGGGCTCCAAAATCACTGCGGATGGTGATTGTAGCCATGAAACTGAAAGACGCTTGCTTCTTGGAAGAAAAGCTATGACCAACCTAGACAGCATATGAAAAAGCAGAGACATTACTTTGCTGACAAAGGTTCATATAGTCAAAGTGATGTTCTTTCCAGTAGTATACATGGATGTGAGATTGGGACCATAAGGATAGCTGAGCGCCAAAGAATTGATGCTTTTGAACTGTGGTGTTGGAGAAGACTCTTGAGAGTCCCTTGGACTGCAAGGAGATCCAACCAGTCCCTCCTAAAGGAAATCAGTCCTGAATAGTCATTGGAAGGACTGATGCTGAAGCTAAAGCTCCAGTACTTTGGCCACCTGATGCCACTCACTCATTGGGAAAGACCCTGATGCTGGGAAGGATTGAGAAGGCAGGAGGAGAAAGGGACGACAGAGGATGAGATGGTTGGATTGCATCACTGACTCAATGGACATGAGTTTGAGCAAGCTCTGGGAGCTGGTGATGGACAGGGAATACTGGCGTTCCGAAGTCCATGGGGCGCAAAGAGTCAGACATGACTGAGTGACTGAACTGAACTGAGCTGAATGATTAGTGACGTTGAACATCTTTTCATGTACTTACTTGGCCATTTGCATATCTTCTTTGGGGAAATGTTTATTCAAATCTTGCTAGATCATTTAAAAATGCATTCTGAAAGAAAAAAAATCCATTCTGCTTTTTTTGGTGAGTGATAAAATATACATAAAATTTACCATTTTAATTATTTCAGACATGTAATTGGCATAAATTCATTCATAAATTGTGCACTGTAACCAGTCTCTGTCTTTTAACTAGTGAGTTTAGTCTATTTCCATTTAAAGTGACTGCTGATATTGAGGGACTTACTTCTGCCATAGTACTGTTTTCTATATTGTCATCTTTTTTGTTCCTCAGTCCTCCCAGTACTGCCTTCTTTTGTGTTTGATTTCCTCTTCATTTCCTTTTCTATGTATTTCCTACTTATTTTTTATTGGTTACCATGGTGATTACAATTAATATCCTAAGATTAAGAGTTGATTTATCATCAGAAACCATGAAGGCCAGAAACTAGTAGAATGATATGTTTAAAGAACTGACAGGAAAAGAAAAAATCCTGTCAACCAGTAATTCTATATCCATAAAAACTGAAGGAGAAGTTCAGACATTCTTGGATAAAAAAAGCTGTTGTTAGTAGACCTGCCCTGCAAGAAATGCTGTGCATATCTGCTCAGTCGCTCAGTCACGTCTGGCTCTGCGACCCTGTGGACTGGAGCCCACCAGGCACCTCTGTCCATGGGATTCCACTGGAGTGGGTTACTATTTCCTCCTCCAGGGGATCTTGGTGTCCCAGGGATTGAACTGGCGTCTCCTGCATTGGCAGGCAGATTCTTCCACCAGTAAGCACCTGGGAAGCCCAAGGGGAGTCATTCTGACTAAAACCAAAAGTCACTGGATAACTCAAAGTCATATAAAGAAAAAAGGTTCACTGATAAAGGTAACTACAAAGTAAAATAAAAGCTAGTATTTTTGTATTTTGGGTATGTAACTCCTCCTTAATTCGTATATGGTTTAAAAGATGCATAAAACCATAATTATGAATGTGTTAATATGCATGCAATATATAAAGATGTATTTGTAGCAATACCAACTCAAAGGGGGATGTGGAATTGAATAGGAAGTGTTAATGTACACCATTGAAGTTAAGATGGTATAAATTCAACCTAAAGTCCTATACATTTATCTATCTCTTAAGTGTGCTTTGATAATTTGTCTTTGTTTCCATGTATTTTCCATTTCAGCTAAGTTACTGAATTTATTTGCAAAATGTTGTTCCCAATATTCCCTTATTATTCTTTTATGATCTGTAGAATCTGTTGTGATGTAGAATCTTTCATTCCTAATACTGGTGATTTGTATTTTCTTTTTTCCTGACCAATCTGGCTAGAGGTTTATCAATCTTGTTGATTTTCTCAAGAAGCAGCTTTTGGTTTCATCGATTCTGTTTTTCTGTTTTCCATTTCATGGATTTCTGCACTGCTACTGCTGCTGCTAAGTTGCTTCAGTCGTGTCCGACTCTGTGCGACCCCATAGACAGCAGCCCACCAGGCTCCCCCGTCCCTGGGATTCTCCAGGCAAGAACAGTGGAGTGGGTTGCCATTTCCTTCTCCAATGCATGAAAGTGAAAAGTGAAAGGGAAGTTGCTCAGTTGTGTCCGACTCTTAGCGACTCCATGGACTGCAGCCTACCAGGCTCCTCCGTCCATGGGGGTTTCCAGGCAAGAGTACTGGAGTGGGGTGCCATTGCCTTCTCTGGGATTTCTGCACTGATCTTTGTTATTTTCTTCTGTATACTTTGGTTTCAGGTGGAAGCTGAGGTCATTGACATCTTTTTTAAAATAGATATTTAGTGCTATAGATTTCTGTCTCTAATAGAGATGTCCCACAAATTCTGATACATTGCATTTCCATTTAGCTCAAAATAGTTCCTAATTATTCTTTGATTCAGAGGTGTGTTATTCATTTTCTAAGTATTTATGAATTTTACAAGGATCTTTTTGTTAATGATTTCTAATATAATTCCACTGTGATCAGAAAACATATTTTGTATGACTTGAATCCTTTTTATCGAGGCTTGTTTTATGGCCAAGAATATGACCTTAAGACTATGTATCCTCCTAGTGTTACATGGAATATTCTGTAAATGTCAATATTCTATAAATATCAAGTTGGTTGATAGTGTTGTTCCAGTTTAATTCTGGCTGATTATTTTTCTGCTTGTTTTATCAATTATTCAGAGTAGTATTGAAATCTTTGACTAAAACTGTGATTGTTTTTTCTTACAGTTGTATCCATTTTTGTTTCATATATTTTGAAGCTGTCTTATTGGGCATGTGAACATTTAGAATTGGTCTATCCTCAATTAATCATGTCATTATGAGTTGACCTTTTTTTTAATCTCTGGTAATATTTTCTGCTCGGCAATCAAATTTATCTGATTTTATTACAGCCCTCCCAGCTTTCTTTTGACAAGCATAAACAAGGTGTGTCTTTTCGCTTTTACCCTGTTAGAGTCTTTGTAGTCAAAGTACATTTCTTATGGGCAGCATATAATTGGGTCTTACTTTTTTTATCCATTCTGACAATCTCAGCCTTTTCATTGGGTTGCTCATTTTATTATTTTTTGGCTATGCGTGGCATGCAGGATATTAGTTCCTTGACCAGGGGTCAAGCTCATGTCCCCTGGGGTGGAAGTGGGGAGTTTAAATCACTGGATCACCAAGGAAGTGCCTTAACTGGGCTGTTTAGACCATTTACCTTTACTGTGATCGACAGAGTTAGGTTTCAGTTAGGGGTTTCCAGGCAAGAGTACTGGAGTGGGGTGCCATTGCCTTCTCTGGGATTTCTGCACTGATCTTTGTTATTTTCTTCTGTATACTTTGGTTTCAGGTGGAAGCTGAGGTCATTGACATCTTTTTTAAAATAGATATTTAGTGCTATAGATTTCTGTCTCTAATAGAGATGTCCCACAAATTCTGATACATTGCATTTCCATTTAGCTCAAAATAGTTCCTAATTATTCTTTGATTCAGAGGTGTGTTATTCATTTTCTAAGTATTTATGAATTTTACAAGGATCTTTTTGTTAATGATTTCTAATATAATTCCACTGTGATCAGAAAACATATTTTGTATGACTTGAATCCTTTTTATCGAGGCTTGTTTTATGGCCAAGAATATGACCTTAAGACTATGTATCCTCCTAGTGTTACATGGAATATTCTGTAAATGTCAATATTCTATAAATATCAAGTTGGTTGATAGTGTTGTTCCAGTTTAATTCTGGCTGATTATTTTTCTGCTTGTTTTATCAATTATTCAGAGTAGTATTGAAATCTTTGACTAAAACTGTGATTGTTTTTTCTTACAGTTGTATCCATTTTTGTTTCATATATTTTGAAGCTGTCTTATTGGGCATGTGAACATTTAGAATTGGTCTATCCTCAATTAATCATGTCATTATGAGTTGACCTTTTTTTTAATCTCTGGTAATATTTTCTGCTCGGCAATCAAATTTATCTGATTTTATTACAGCCCTCCCAGCTTTCTTTTGACAAGCATAAACAAGGTGTGTCTTTTCGCTTTTACCCTGTTAGAGTCTTTGTAGTCAAAGTACATTTCTTATGGGCAGCATATACTTGGGTCTTACTTTTTTTATCCATTCTGACAATCTCAGCCTTTTCATTGGGTTGCTCATTTTATTATTTTTTGGCTATGCGTGGCATGCAGGATATTAGTTCCTTGACCAGGGGTCAAGCTCATGTCCCCTGGGGTGGAAGTGGGGAGTTTAAATCACTGGATCACCAAGGAAGTGCCTTAACTGGGCTGTTTAGACCATTTACCTTTACTGTGATCGACAGAGTTAGGTTTCAGTTTATCATCCTATTTGTTTTCTGGTTCTCTCATCTGTTCTTTGTTACCCTTTCCTCTTTTTCTGCCTTCTTTTTCTTGAGAATTTTTAATTGTATTTTATCTGTTTTGTTGGCTTATTAACTTATTAATAAAAATGATTAATTTATGGTTTACATTATATGGATTTAACCTACCACAGTTCATCTCATCACGGGAACAAACCAGGCCTCAGACACAGTCGCAGAGCAGCTGCCGGCAGAGCTGTCCAGGAAGAGGGGCCCCCCCATTGGGGCCCACTCTGCTTTCCCCTTGCGGATCACACCAAGGGCCTTGGGAGGTCATCACACCACGCAGAACTTCGGCTTGCTCCTTTGTAAACTGAGGTCATCCCACCTGCCCTGCCTACCTTGGAATGGTGTTCTGTCCTAGGAATAAAGACCCCATGCCTTTCCACACACTAGTCTAGCTAATGCAACCACGAGGGCTGCTCCTAGGACCACTAGACTCTCAAGATGTGTGGTTGGAAATACTGAGAATGGGAACAAAGGTTGAGTGTGTGGGCAGCCAAGGGCCCCTGGGTTCTAAAACCTACTGCTTGATCCCTACTTCCCTGGAAGGTGGGGGAGGCCTTGCCTGGGGAGGTGCCTCCTCCTTCTGCCCTCCTAACAGAAGCCTGATGGGCAGTCTCCCTACTCTCCAGACCCAAAACCCAGAGAATACCAGGAAATTTGCCTGGAGGTTTCAGACCCAAGCTTTTCTCTCATTCTTTCCCTTTATCTGATTCTCCATCACAGTCAGATGGTGGTATCTGGAGGCAAGAGGCGAGCTTCCACCTGTCTTCTGGTTCCTAATTGGGTCATCTCTGCACCAGATCTGCTCTCATCTAACCACTTCTGGAAGGACTTGAGAAGACTGAGGCCTGACCAGATCAAGTAGCTCAACCACATCTGGGCCATTGGCTGTCCCTACCAAGAACAGCGTGACCCAGGGAATTCCCTGGCAGTCCAGTGGTTAGGACTCTGCTTCCACAGCCAGCGGCACAGGTTCCATCACCGGTGGAGGAACTAAGACCCGTGCATCCTCCGACTGTCAAAAAAAAGAATAGGGGGAGGCACACCGCCCTGAGGACCTAGGAGGATCTCAACCTAGTTCAGCTGCCACAACTTTTATGTTCTGGGTGTTTTCTATTACCCGCCAATCTGGAGTTTTCCCAATTGCATGTGATTCTGATGAGGGAGAGATAACTGTAGGTTTACCTATGGTTGTAAGAAATAAGGGAGATAGAGCCCTTCTACACTTGGCCTAGCTTCCCCCAATGCTAACTTTTGCAAAACTATAACATCACCATTAGGATACTGATATTGCTAAAATCCACCGATCTTACTCAAATTTCCCCAGTTAAGTGTGTGACATTTTAATGATCAGCCCACGGAAGCTTCGACCCAATTTTAACCTACTTGGCAAACCTATTGTGACGCAGAGGGACATCACCCCACTGGTCCTTTTTTTTGTGTGTGCCCCAGAAAACCAGAAAGAGGTTAACAGGGAAATTTAAAATTCAGGGCATGCTATGTGTGTGCTAGGCTCCACTCGTGCCATCGTTTGCTGCCTGCAGCAGCCTGTTTTACCAACACAAAGAGTAAGTAAGGCGCAGGGAGGGAGGGTGGCTGGGCTCGAGGTTCGAGGCCGGGCAGGGGCTAACCTAGGCCCACCTACACACTCCGAGCACAGCACAGACGGGCAGTCACGCCGCGAGGAGACCTAGAGGGCTCCACAGACATTAACGGAGGCCCCACGGGGCCTGCGATGCACATTAGAGCAGCACCCAGCTCCGACCAGCAGGGCGAGGGGCGCGCGCGCCACGCCCCGGCCCTTCACGCGAGCTCCGGAGCGCAGCCGCCCCAGGGCCGCCCCGCGGGACGCCGGGAAGCCGCGCGCCCCTCCCCGCGCAGCCCGCGGCTGCCCCCTGCCGCCGTGGCGTGGGCGCTGCAGCCCCGGCTGTCTCCGCTTCCGGATTGGCGGCTCCGGCAGGCCGGGTGCCTGCGGCCATCGGATTGGCTGCACCCCGATACCGCGGCCCCGCCCGTTTCCCCGGGTCCTTTGATCACGCGCCTGCTGGCTCTTCCGGGGCCCAGGAGCCAAACGAGGGCGTTCCTTTCCGGGCTGCAGCGGCGGGAGGTAAGGCATGGCCGGGTTGCACGGGCTGCAGAGCGCCGGTACAATCCACGCCTCGGGGTGTCGGGATTCCAGGATACTCGGGTCGCTCTGCGCCCCCCTCACGTTCTCTTCCCCTGGCCTGAGCCTCCCAGCGCCATGGGAACTACCTCCCGCTCTCCCTTGCTGGTCCGCATCCTAGGGTCGGCCTGTCACCCTCCCTACCTCGGAATGTCCCCTCGACCACGGGACGGGCGTGCGACTGGGAGAGTCCGGAGCCCCCCTGGGCACCGAGACAGGCGGCTCAGCCCTTAACCTCCGATGGAAACCCAGGCGAACCGGGGTCACGGACCTCGGGGCATCTGCGTGCAGCCACCCGTGAAGAATCTCCTTGCATCTGTCATGGGAGCTGACCCTCTCCACTTCCGCCTGTCATCCCAGACCAGGAGGGGAGGGACCCGGGCGGAGCCCCGAGTGAGGACCAGGGGGAGGTGACATCACCTCGCAGATGCAGCCCAGCCCTGCCCACTGGTGTCCACCCTGGCACAAGACCAATGAGGGAGACGGTGCCCAGGTTCTATGTCTGGAGTGACACCAGGGACAACGAAGGCCTGGGACCTATAGCCTGAAGTGTGGGCACTGGACCAGGATAGAGGCTGCGGGTGGGGGGAGATGCTCCTGCCTCACCCCTTGGCTGCAGTGAGGACCCCATATTTTAACCTAATCTCTCCATTTTGCTTCAGTGGATAGCTTCTGGCAGCCCAGTGCTTCAGGAGGAGGGGGCAGGAGCTGGGGACCTCCACCTAACCTTCCTTCAGTAACTAGTATCTGCAAATGTTTGGCCAGCACCAGCACCTGAGTGACAGCCCCACCCTGGGCAGCACTCGGCCCTGGGTCTGGCCTCCCCTCCGTGCCCTTCACCCCCAGGATTTGCTGAGAGTCACTGGAGGGATCAGCCCAGCACACTGACCTGGAAGACACCCCCCCCTTCCCTTTCCGGACCTGACCTTAGTTTTCATGTATTATTACTATCTCAGGGAGGCATCCAGAGCCTGGCTGTCACCCTGGGTGGAATTGACAACCTCCTACCCCCTCTTAGGGCTTCCCTCATAGCTCAGTTGGTAAAGAATCCGCCTGCAATGTGGGAGACCTGGGTTTGATCCCTGGGTTGGGAAGATCCCCTGGAGAAGGGAATGGCTACCCACTCCAGTATTCTGGCCTGGAGAATTCCATGGACTATACAGTCCATGGGTTCGCAAAGAGTCGGACATGATTGAGCGACTTTCACCTTCACTTTCACTTTCCTCCTCTTCAGGGAGCCCAGGGGAGGCGCCCTCCCGAGGCAGTACTGCCCATGCTGACTACCCGGCCCTCCGGCTGCCGATGTCATGAGTAATACCACAGTGCCCAATGCCCCACAGGCCAACAGCGACTCCATGGTGGGCTATGTGTTGGGGCCTTTCTTCCTCATCACCCTGGTCGGGGTGGTGGTGGCTGTGGTAAGGAGCCTCCACACACATACACACACACACACACCCCCCCTCTGGCTAAGGCAGGGGCGCGTGGGCCCGGACCAGCCTGTACACAGCACCTCACTGTCCTGCTGTCACGGGAGGGGAGGGTGTGGAGGTAGGTCCCTGTCCCCCTGTGGGCCATCCTGGGCTCAGCCGCCTCCGCAGTGCTGTGTCTCTGTTACAGGTGATGTACATCCAGAAGAGAAAACGGTGAGTGTCCCCGCCCTGAGTGCCACCCCTGATGCATTCTGCTTAAAAGTCCTTCCCATTTGATCTGAGACCCCTTCAGTCATTCTTAGACAAACCTGGAATTCTCTGCATGCCACTGTTAGCTTTTTTCCTACCCAGACATGTGTCCTCAGAGCTCTAGCATACCCTGAATGGCACCCTGTCGGGGGAAACAGCAGAGCAGGGAGGTGGGGGGCCGTGGCTGAGCACCCCTGTGCCCCCCAGGGTGGACCGGCTGCGCCATCACCTGCTCCCCATGTACAGCTACGACCCTGCCGAGGAGCTGCACGAGGCCGAGCAGGAGCTGCTCTCAGACGTGGGGGACCCCAAGGTGAGCGCTCGGGGGGACAGGACCAGCTTCCGCCGGGGCCAGCCAAGCGCCTCCCTCCAAGCTGTGCTGTGGCCTGGTCTCCCCGCCACAGGTGGTCCACGGCTGGCAGAGTGGCTACCAGCATAAGCGGGTGCCCTTGCTGGATGTCAAGACGTGACCTGAGCCCTCTGACCCCACCCTCCCCGCAACCACGGGGTCCTGATTGGCCCAGGCCCTGCAGCCTGCTGCTGCCCCAGCATCCTTCCCTCCAGCCTGGCTGCTAAGCCCCACAGAGCCGCCAGCCTCCATCGGACCCACGTCCTCACTCAGTCCTAGGCCTGCAGTCCTTTGTGGGGTGAGCCTACCTATCACCCACTCCCAGGAACTAATGAGGATGTTTCTTCCTGGGGTGAAAGGGTGGCTGGAATTAGCAGGTGGGGATTTGCCCTCCCAGGCTTAGCTCTGGAGTGGTTCCCATGGTGACAGGGCCTAATGTATATTCAGTATATATATTTTGTAAATAAAATGTTTTGTGGCTAGGGGTGTAGTTGATATCTTCAAGAGGGGCTTACCTCTTGTGCTTTCTCTTTTTCACTCACTCACTAGAGAGCCGTGGTTTCTACCCTTCCCTCTTCCAGCACCCACCACAGAAAAGACTCAGTCCAGAAAAGGATATTTTTTTATTCAAGTAACTGCAAATAGGAAACCAGAGGGGAGCCCCAGGCTGGGACAAATAATGGCTACCTCCTCCCTGACAGAACAGGTGGAGAAGGTGGCCCCTACACCTGACAGTCAACACGGGCCCCCCCCTCTCTGCTGCAGCATCCTAGGGGCAGGACCCCACCTTCCCTGGGACTGGGGGAGTCGGTACCCAGCCTGCTTTGCTCCAGGCCCCTTCCCCTAAGAGCTTCTTGGAGGAGGGGGACGTGGGCAGAACAGGAGGCAATGAGGATGGACATTTGGCGCTGGTAGCAGCAGCAATGACGGATGTCTAAGAATGAAACATTTAACAAAAAACAACACAACTGTCCAGAGGTAGTTTGTGAACAGAGGAAAGATGGAACCAGAACCTTGGGGGGTGGGGAGGAGCAGGAGGGTGGGAGTGGGCAAGACTAGCTCCTTGTTATTAGTGCCCCGAGGCAAGGGAGGAGGGGAAACTGAGGCCTGGAGCCGAAGCAGACGGGGTGGGGAGTGGCTCCAGCTCGCCACAAGTGGCTGCTGCAGGGAGCCCAGGCCTCCTGGGCCTCACCTGGATAAAGAGGGCTCTTTCCATCATTGCAACGGGATTCCAGGGTGAGGGCAAGGTGGGCTGGAGCCTGCCTAGAGCTGGGAGGGGGCTTACATTCCTACCTTCCTTCCTGAGCCCCCAAGAGGGTGGCCCCACCGAGTGTGGGGACGAGGCAAGGCGGGAAGGAGAGAGGGTGTGAGCCACCCCCGGAGAGACACAGGTCGGTCGGGGATGGTGGGGGGCATCTCTGGGCGGTCACCCCTCTCCAGTGGCCGCACCTGCTGCCGCTAGTACAGTGAAGTGGGGCGTGTCCGAATGAGAGAATGAGGTGGGGCTTGGGCCCCTTTTAAGGCCAGGGGAGCCCTCCGAGGCCCCTTAATGGGAAGCCAGAGGGGAGAGGCAGAGGGGATCCCCAAACCGAGAGCCCAGCCAGCAGGGCCCCCACCACACAGGGAGCAGGGGCGCGGGAGCGGCTAAGTGGAAGTCAGCTTTGTCTGGGAGGGTGGGTGTGGCGGGTGGGTGAGGGGTCACTGGGACCTGAAATCAAAGGGAGCAGCTCCCCACTCAGGCCCAAGGACCCTGCAGCGGCTGGTGTGCGGTGTAGTGTGGCGGGGAGGGTGCAGGTGGGGGACGGGAAGGGCCTGGGGGGGCGGGAGCAGAGCGGAGCTGTCCAGTCCCAGAAGGAAACTGCTCCTCTGGAGGGAGCGGGCGGCGGTCACTGCTCCTCCT